ATCCATCCATCCATCCATCCATCCATCCATCCATCCATCCATCCATCTGTAATACAGGATAAGTTCATGAATCTGATTAGCTTAATTTAGACTAAATTAACCATAATCATAAAAGGTTCACTCTTAAAAGTATAATAGGACACTTCATTGCTTTTTCTAGTTTTTTAACAGGGTTATCAACTCAGGAATTTGGGCCTGATTCTCTTTTTCTGGATACATGAAACTTGACAGATATTTTGCCTCTGGAAGCAACCCAGGGTCTTTAGTTGATTTGGAGTTAGAAATATAACTTGTTTGCCATTCTTCCCTGCTACTAGTCTCCCCATTCAGATAACACAGGTTTGGGAGCATGAAAGGCACTCAAGTTTACATAATTGCAACTAATCATGGGATAAATATGTCCTGAGGGCCTCTTTTTTGTCATATCCCCATGACATTACTTTCATCTCCCATCTATGAGTTAGACAGGCAAAACTCAGCTTTAGTTGTTAGTTCTTTGCTTTTATTCTGCCACCCTCCAAAGGTATCTTTGGGGTGCATAGAATTTCTTAAACTCTGTCATCCAGTAATTTGGAAGTAAGGCAAACGATCAGGCATGATTAGGACCAGAGACAATAGAGTCAGCATCAGGGAGAGCGGATTTCATGTTGGGTTGTTTCCTTACAGATCAGGGATGAGTAGCTACCACTATGAATTGCTAGTACAGAAAGGCCAGTGACTTTCAATTTGCTGTCAAGAGAGAGCTGGTGTGTTTCCAAAGACAATATTCTTTTGAAAAAGAGCCTAAAATAGCAATCATAAATAAACAAATTGCAGGAACTTTGCTTCTCAGGAAACGTGAAAGTCACAAATCTTCCTGTATTCTGTATACTGTATATGCAGTGGCAATGACGGGTGAGGAATGAATCCTGGATATAAATGCAAAATTCTTTTGTGGAGCTCTGGACAAAATTCTATGCCATAACAGATGTCTCTCCCTCACCCTTTTTTTTTCCTTGCAGGTTTTTTCTGGTGTATTGGTAAATCTCACAACCATTACATCTTCGTTATCGTGGCTGGAATACTTCAGTATCCCTCGCTATGGCCTAAATGTAAATAATATTATCACTAGTTTTATTTGTTAGCTATTTGTGAAAGAACCCATCATCCAGAACTAGCAAACTGGTAGAATTGACTGGAGAATGGTCTTTTCTTCCTTGGCATGGCTTCATGTAGTCTCTTGGAGCTAAAGTGGACATGTTCCTGTTTAGGAAAATTGTCTTACATGCTTCTAGGATGTCAGGTACCATTCAGCAGTTCCCAGGGATTCATGGAAGCTCTGCCATCCCCAAAGATGTTGGGATTTGAACACTTTACCTCCAAAGGTTGTCCTTGTTCATACAGACATGATACGCTAGAAGAGGGATGGGGAACTATGGCCAAGCTGGCTCAGGAAGTCTAGGAGTTGAAGTCCACAAGTCATAAGAAGCCATGGTTCCCCACCTCTGAGATAGAAGGACATTCTCTATTTGGCTTACAGCGGGATTGGGGAGGATCTGTTCCTTTTGGAAAAGAGAAGTGGGTGGGTGGGTGTGCTTTCCTACAGTCTTACTTGAAGCAAACCCCCACTTTTCAGAAGCAGCATTTGCAGAAGTGTTAGAAGACCATTCAAGTACCTTTTCTATTGTAATTATTGCTTGTCCTCTTCACTGGCGCCACCACACATTTTACCCATTTGCACAAGACACCCCTTTGGGGAAAACATTGTTAATCCGCCTGTTATTCTGCTTTTATTCTTTTATTCTTCATTGTTATTCTGCCTGCTAAGGAATTCTAGCACACCAGCTAAAGAACCATTTGAGGGATTGTAGGATATGTCCTGCACTGCACACATTGTCCAGACAGACATCCTTTGGTCTATTTCCATTGTTTCCTGTGAACCAGCTGTGTATTCAAGCAACCTAATATTTATAAATTAAATGAAGTACTGTTTAGTGGTGAGAAAACTACTCTCATGGAAGCTCTTTAGAAAATGTTCTTCTTCTCCAGAGCCAAGTCCAAGAAAGTGCAATATTTTGAAGTTACAAACGGAAAAATTGAATAAATCGTAATCTAATGTTGACATCTAGTGGTTTATTTTGAGAACTTTGTGTGATTTCAGCTTTAGAAGAAAAAATTCTATCCTACATAAGTAACTCCCACATAGTGGCAAAAAAAAAAGTTTATGTCTTTTAATACAATTTGGTAATTGGAAAAGATGGTACCAGGTTCTGATTTTTTTGCCACCCTAACTAACACGCTCTCCTCTTCTATAGTTGTACACAGGGTTTTGTGATGTGCCAAGAATCCTCAAAGGATCCCTTCCAACTCTATAATTTTTGAATGGGCAGTGTCTGTGATTTCAACTAAATATTCAAATGGATCTACCATTTGCAGTGCTTCTTAGGAGATTCAGAAAGAGGGATAGATCACGGTGTCATGATTCATACCATACATTAAAACATCTGGCTTTATTTGATGTAGCTTTGGTTAGGTTTGCTGTATGAACCATAGTTTACCTTATAAACCATAGTTTATGGCCTAGTGTGTTATATAGCTGCATATGAAGTGCTAAAGCTATGGATCCTCATCTATTTTGTACATGTGACTTATGCAGTTCATCCAAAAATTGTTACAAACTGGTAAATTTGAACTGGATACTGCATGGGAGAGCAGAATAATTTATTTAGAACATCAACATAATGGGGCATCAATATCTCCCTATTTATTAAGGCTTAAAAATTCTGATGTTGCTTTAATTTTAGCAAAGCACTCTCATTCCTGTCATTTTGTTGCCTTTTAGGTCCAACTGCACGGGAAACCTTTCAGATAATATAAGCAAGTAATTCCATTATCTGTCTGTTTTTCAAAGGCTTTACAAATCAACGAATTTACTGGACTCAGATTTTGCACTGAAACCCCAGTAGGGGTCAACGCAACATGTGTTTCTACTTCTGCATATACAGTGTAAGCATCTGTCACATGGCAAACTGTTGAACCATCTAGAAAAGTAAAACAAACAAATAACAGTGCCCAGGTTTCTTTAATTATTACTCATGCTGTTTTTTTTTTAAAGAGATGTTTATTACGTAAAAATATTCAGGACTTGCTAGTGAATAAGGTACGGAACTGTTGCCAACTTGACGGGGGCAAAACGTTTGGAAGGGTGGCTTGCAGAGCATATTGAGCGAAGCATCGTTCATGGGGCATTAAATTTGTTGCATCCTTGTGGAGGTTTATATTTTTTACAATTGACTCTGAAGGTGTATATGCACCACACTTCTACTGGGGCTTCCAGAAAAGTAAAGAAAGCACACATGAAAACCGGAGAAGCATTCTTAGCATATTTCATTGTTATTCACCAAAATTTAAACTTTAAAAATATGATATTTCTGCCCAAAACTTGCTATTCATCTCTAGTTTTCTGCCACAACAAGGCATAGCAAACAATGAGTTTGCTTAATGACCATACTCTTAATGACTGTGGCATTCGCTTTATGACCGCAGTGTTTGCTTGATGACTGTCATGAAAAAGATTCAAAAATCATGGACTGGCTGTATTATGGGCGTAAGCAGAGGACTTATCTGTATGAATTTACATCTACAAATAAGAAAAGTAAATTAAGAATTGCACTGTCCTAATACAAAATTTTTTAACCCATGTTTTTAGATGCACTGGAGAAGACTATTTGGAAATGCAAGGCATTGGCACAACTTCTTGGGACTTGTGGAAGAATCACGTTGCACTTATATGTATGACTATAACTTTTCTCACATTTGCATATCTGAAATTGAAATTTCTGAAGAAGTATACTTAGCAAGAGACTATCCTTATTTAACACAGCATTGTACTTTTATAATAAACATTTAGTTCTTGTAACATACGGTATACAGTTCTTGAAACACTTTGCTGGTTCATATTTTGTAATAATTATGGAATTGCAATTGTTGTACAGCTATTGCCTTCAAACTGAGGGCCAGTTTAAGCCAATCTTTTTTGAAAAATAAAAGAGAACATGAAGCCCCTCAAAATTCTATCTGAGGTATCTATACTGCACAAGCCAGATATCTGATCTCTTGCAGTCCAAGAAAAAATGGACATAGAAGTCAATCCCTGGATGACTGGATGGGAAGATGGTATCCCCATAACAGACTTGATTGGCCAATAAGAGCAGGGCAGATCCTGGCTCCTGTCTGTATTGCTGGTATAATTAACAAGGCACTACAGATTCTCTGTATTAAGATTTATACCGGAAAGGAAAAATTCCATGTGACAGTGAGATAACTGAAGATAATTAGATTGTCTCAACTACCGAGGATGTCATAAAGATGTGTGTCTCTTAAAATGAGGTATCGTTATTACTTAGTAGTAAATGAAATGTGAAGACAAGTTCTATAATAGTACTGTCAATGAATTAGGGATGTGTAAAGAATTTTACAGAATATCCAGACCTTGAAGCAATACCCATCTTAAGTTTTGATCTGGGCTCTGAGCTTCAAAAGAAAATTGTGGTTTTTTTTTTTTTTTAAAGGTTTGTTTTTAATCTTCTTTTGTGTTTTGCTGATAGTGAGTTTCAGGATACATTTTAAAATGCAAAGCCTCTACGTTGACCTGGATTGATTAATTCTGCTTTTTCTGCTCAAGGTTTGGTGTGTGTCTGACCTTTTATGATGTGAAGAGTAAAAAAACCTGTGGTTTTAAATGCTCAATGAGCAGATTTTGCTCTTTTTTTATTGCGCAGGGCTAGGTTTTCATTTACTTTGTTAATTTAGCTCTGGCTGTGATTTAATTAATGATTAAATTTAAATTTTAAACTGTAATGTAAGCTAAGTTCATCTGCTTCTTCCACCCCGAATTTCCAAGTAAAACAAATCTTGCTGAAGTCTAACCTATTAAGTGCTAATTGAAAGAGTGCTGATAAAAGAGATTATGCTATTTTGGTAAACACTTTATTTAATGAGCTAAAAGAGTGTTAATAAACTTGGGTGAAAACTAGACAAAAAAATTCCCAGAGGAGTAGAATTTTGTTCCTATTCTGTATGGCTTACAGAGTCAAAACATTTAAGTTTTATTTCAATGGAATAAGGAAAACTCAAAGCCATTCTTGGGTCTTTGTGGAGGGTGTTTCCATGATACACAGGAGTGTTTCAGATGAAATTGTTTTGTTCCAAACTTGAAATGTTTATTGTATCATGTGGGCAGCTCAGTTATATTTAGAATAAATTACTATACAGTCTCTTCAAGTTACAGCCACAACTGTGCCCAAAATTTCCACTGCTAAGCAAAACAGTTGTTAAGTGAGTTTCCCCACCACTTGTGGCCTTTCTTGCCACAATTGTTAAATGAATCACTGCAGTTGTTAAGTTAGTAAAACAGCTGTTAAGTGAATATGGCTTTCCCATTGACTTTGCTTGTCAGGTTGCAAAAGGTGATCACAGGACCCCAGGACACTGCAACCACCATAAATACAAGCCAGTTGCCAAGCATCTGAATTTTGATCACATGACCTCTACAATGCTGCGAAAGGCGACCATAAGTAATTTTTTCAGTGCTGTTGCAGCTTCAAATGGTCATTAAACGAATGGTTGTTAGGTTGAGGACTACCTGCACACAATCTTATGCCAGCAATATTTTTTTTTATAAATAACTAAATTGATATGACAGAATTAGAAAAGGAATTTTCTTATTTTGAATCCATGTGACCAAGTATCCATGGAAGACAAAAATAACCTTTAATCTGCTGATCTGGTACATATGATCAGGTATGTTGTTTACAAGCTTTCAACCAACTTCACTGTCTTTTTATGGGTTAAAAGATCTAAAAGAGAAAGCACTAGTAATATCCATTTTTATTTAATGTTTCTGTGTAGCTTCCCATGATGACCATAGAAAGGAAGTCATGATTGAGATTGTAATCAGTGAAATACAAAGCCCTATAACTAGAAATATTAAAGCAAATAAAGATACATATTATAAATCTTTGGTTTTATTTCACAAACAATTAGTTGGATGGCACTTAAGAGCAGAGAAAAAAAATCCTCTTCCTTTGAAATTGATGCAAAGCTCACTCCCCCCCCCCTTTTAACCACTCACAACTTCAAAACACACACAATCTTTATTGGTCAGGAAGTTGTTCATTGGTACATTTTTACCATTATGTGAAATGTTCAAAATTAACATTTATATTCTTTTCTAAGGCAACATTATCCTAGAAATATATTGGCACTTTGGAAGCATATATATATATATATACACAGTGTGCAAAATAGCAGATACTCAAGCTTCTTTGCTGTCATACTTTAAATGTATGTGTACATTGTCAACGCGCATGGCTATCCCATGAAATCTTAATGCACTTCAAAATGAAGTTTGTTATGAAGTAACAACATGTTACAAAATGTAAGCTATTACCATATGAATGCAAACCTTTGGTTTCCATAATACTCCTTTATGTGAAACTCTATTGTTTTGAAGGTTGCTAAAAAGAACAAGAAGATATAATTTAAAATCAAGCATAGTAAGCCGTGTGAACAGTTTCCCACTCTACCTCAATACCCAAAGCATGGGTGATTTCAGAAGTTAAGGTTACAAGCATTTTACAAAGCTTAGCTCAGCATGTTTTGAGTAACTCAAGGAGTGTTCTTTCCCTTCCTGCCATGAACATCAGAACAACATAAGATGAAGCATCTACAGTATAGAACAGGGGTCTCCAACATTAGCAACTTTAAGGCTTGTGGACTTCAATTCCCAGAATTCTGGGAGTTGACGCCCAGAAGCCTTAAAGTTGACAAATTTGGAGACTGGTATAGAACATATCTGGTCCTCCCTGCCAGAAGCAATCCGGTGGCCAGATATGCATCATATATACATGTTACATTTTGAAATATGTTACATGCGATTTTTCTACATCTCAATCTGACCTGCACTTGTATACCATTCCCCCAGCCTCTCTGGTTTTGACTTACATGCAATGAAATACAAGAATATAAACCTTTCAAAAGCTCCCTATTAAATACTGTTTGTTGTGCTGTCCAGTTTTCTGTTAGAACAGCTCATTTAGCAGTGTGTTTGTTTATTTACTTTTTACATAAATTATTTTCATAAATGCTTTCAGAATATATTTAATCGGATCCCTGTTTTATGGTCTTATGAAGATTATGCTCCGGAGAATGCTTTTTCCAGTACATAATTTCACAGGGACAATTATAAGTGGCCCTTTTAGAACAATATCCTATGATGGGAAAATTTTCCTACAATCATGCATTTTCACCTGCAAGATGATTAACGTTGCTAAATTGTGTCATAATTTTTTTTCTCAAAGGGGCTTTGAGAATAATGACGGCTATCCTCCCAACAACCATATAAAATAGGCTTTATCAAAATAGGAATTCCTTTTTGGTAAGCTTAAATCTTACAAGATTAAAAGACAAATCTATCATATTGAAATAACGATAAGCTAATTCATGCAGCCAAACACAGATATTACTTCTGTATGTATTATTTTGCAGAGAATGTATTATAGACTACCTGTTTCAACTAAAAAAGGAAGAGTGTCAGAAGAAAATCATATAGACTTGATTACGCCGTATGAAACAGCTATGTATAGTGTATTTTATGCACATTTTTTTAGAAGTGTGTCTCTGGTTCCAATATGTCTTACTGCCAGGTAATAATTACCTTAAGATCTAGAACTGGGAAATAAATTTACTAGCTTACCTATTTTCTCCTAACAAATAGAGAAATGTGCATCTTTCTAATGAAAGGAGTTGGAAAGGAAACCAAGGGCATTAAAAACAAGCAGCTCTGGTTTTTAAAAACAGATCAGATAACAACATGATGGTTTCCTATATCATACTCTATAACAGGGATGTCAAACTCAAGGCCCGTGAGGGGCCGCCCTGGAAAAAGCCAAGATGTGGTCCATGGTGCCTCTACCAGTGAAAATGAAACTCAAGAGGGCAGCGCCCTTTTCACTGGCAGAGGGCTTCAGGAAGCCATCACAGCTGAAAATGGAGCCCAGGGGTCCGTGTGCCCACCCCCAAGCTCTATTTTCTCTGGCAGAGTGCTAGCAAAACAAACTACTAACAAAAGTGGATCCCCCCCAGCTCTTCTTGGGCCACCACAGGTGCCCCCAACACAAGTGTCATTGAGATGGCCATACCCACCATGGCCATGCCCCCCCCAGCTCTTCTTGGGCCACCACAGGTGCCCCCAACACAAGTGTCATTGAGATGGCCATACCCACCATGGCCATGCCCCCCCCAGCTCTTCTTGGGCCACCACAGGTGCCCCCAACACAAGTGTCATTGAGATGGCCATACCCACCATGGCCATGCCCCCCCCAGGTCAAACACAACCCTGATGCGGCCCTGAATGAAATCGAGTTGACACCCCTGCTCTATAAACTCACAGCCCTGCTGTCCCAAGGCATCTTGTCATTAGCTAACTCATGATTTGTGGAAAATATTTTGAGCAAATACAAGTGCTCCTAGACGTGGATGTTGCTCCCTCTATTTCCTCCCCCTCCCCCTTCCTTTCCCCCTCCCCCTCCCCCT